CTGCAAAGCGGAGGGACAGAGGGCGAGGTCCTGTCGGAGCCAGCCCCACCCTCTCTAGAAAACACTCCCCTCTCCAACCCAAAATCAAAGGCAAAACCTGCTGCCACCCTTTAAGATCCAACTTAAAGCAAGTTGCTTTTCAGATGCCCTTGAGAGTCAATTCTCTCTCTCCCACCCCATTTCTACAGCACTTAAGTCCTGTCATCTTGAGCCACCCATCTTCGCCAGGGAGGAAAAGCTCTGGCCTTGTCCAGGCAGCCAAAGGCTGATGGGTCTCCTCTTTCTCTGGTGACACAGAATATTCCAGGCCTTTCCAGAAGGGGCTGCCTGATGGGCTGGAAGCAGAACAATCGTCCGACACCCGAGCACAATGAGCCTGTGCATGGATGGATGTCCAAGTAGAGGAAACGGAGGCCAGCTTCACCTTGCACTGAGTCAACAGGGAAACAAGAAAAGATCGGCCTCTGAGAGCCCCTCCTAGCAAGTCGAACGTGCACTAAATGCAATGTTGGTCTCTTGAGCCAGCAGGGCTAAGAGCCCACACCAGCTCTGCTCCCCGACGGAGTGGCAGTCATTGCATGCATTGCTATATTAAGCTGCTTTCGAATTCTGTAGGGGAAAGAGGGGTGGAGGCTGAAGGAAAGGAACCTGAATTTCCATTAAGGGACATTAATGGCGTTGAAGAGCTTCTTCTGGAAAAAGTAGAAACCACCCCAAACAGGTCTTTGGAAATAACCCTTTCTCCGTTCCTGCTGCTCTGGCCCATTCCAAGCCCATGGTCACTCAGTCACCAGGATTGTCACAAAACACTTACCAAATAATAACTGTAGTCCCTGCCCTGGGTTTGGTCTGATTCTACTCCCTCCTTCACAGCATTTTCAGAGCTCTTACCCTGGAAATAAATGTGATCCTGTGGCCTCCTTGTTGAGATCTCCTGCCAGCCCCTCTGCCTGCAAAATACAGGCTGAGTGTCTCCATCTGGCTTTAAACTTCTCCAGCCTCATGCCCAAATAATTCCCCTTTTGTCCTGAAGTCACCAGCCACCCTGCATGTCTTGCTGTTTTCATTGAACATATTAGGCTCATTGCGAATTCTAAGCCACCGGGGTACCTTTAGTTTTCGCCCGAGATGTCTTTCTCTGCCTGTGATGACTATGCATCCTTCAGCCACTTCACCACCTCTGTGGAGTGTTTCTGAGTCCCTGCTCCCCTGAGTGGCCACTGGGCACCGACTGTAGTGTAATATTTTGTTCCTGTGTCTCCCTCACTCATCTATGAGCTCCACTGAAGTGAGGATGGTGTTTTATGGCCCTTGTATCCTCTGCATCTAGCTTAGGGTCTGGAATCAAGTAGATGCTCAATAAGTGTTTATTGAATGAAGAGGCCCAGAGGAAAAGAAGCCTTCCTGATTCTTAGCTGACAGCACCCACATACCCAGCTTGCATGTTCCTATACATTAAGACCCTGCCCTACAAGCCCCTACTTCGATTTGATGCTCCCCTTTGCTGGTTTTCCTGCCTTTTACCTCCCACCCAGCCAACCTGGGACTCTTCTTCACACCTAGAATATCACCTCTCCATACCTGAAATGCTGCTCAAAATTCACCTTCCTCCCAGTAGCCTTCCTTAAGCAACTGCGCTCAAGTCCGATCATTCCCTCTGACATGTCCCACCAGATTAAGAAGCATGTCTCACACTATGTTATTCTACCCTTAGACTACTTGAGACTTTTTTCTCTTGGATCTATGTATGTTCCGGCTCCCTAATTTGGGCTCAGGATCCCTGAGAGCATAAACCAATGTTCCATCCTCCAACACCTTGTTGCCAATGCATTGCTACAGGCGTGACCGTGTCAATGGGGAAAAGGGGAGAATATGAACCCCCTGCTCTCTACTCCAGATTTAATTTTGGGACAATTATATGAATTGCCAAAGGATACTCTGCAGTGTTTCACTTTTTAGAGTATTCCATATTCATTCATTCATTCATTCATTCATTCATTCGTTTTTGGATAGTTCATGAGACAGAGAGTTCTCAGGTTACTAAAGTGTTGGGAGCCCCAGCCAAACTCAGCCATTCCAAATAAAGACCAGAATCATTGAAAAGATCACATGTCAGTTTGGGGCAAACAGGATTCCCTATTCCACAATTATTTATTAGATGCAACTTTGTAGGAACTGAAATGTTCTTAGAGCCTAGACTCCAACCACAGTGTCCAGGTGCTTAGCAATTTACATATTTCCTGCCTCAGTTCCCTGAGATAGAGGCAGGCTACTCCAGAGGACATTTGGGTCCCACATTTTCTCGGGAAAGTTCACTCTTTAACTTCAGAGGTTGCCAGAATCTGCTGGGCATGAAGAAACAGACACTGCAACAGACAGCCCACCACCGCCACCCAATCAGCTCCTGCTGCCACCTCCCTGCCGTCAAGAAGCCTACTGGAAAAATTGGATGGATATCTTTCAGTAACCTGCAACAGGACACTTTTTGCTTTTTGGGACATGGATGAACCTCTAGGAGGCAGATATCTATGCCATAATAGATAATGCTCCCATAATAGTTCATAACAGTCCTGTTATAGCATGTTATGTTATATTATGGACAGTTCAGCTACATTATATTGCTAACACAGTCATCCACTGCCAGCTACCTGCCAGGCACCATACGTGAGCTGAGGATGGAGAATGATGGCGAACAGGTGCACGGCACCCCTGACTCAGGGAGCTTGGATCTTGCCGAGACGACAGGCGTTGTTTAGGTAGCCATAGTGCGATGAGTGTTATAAATGAAAGATATAGGTGCTACAGGAACATGTAAGAGAGAGAGAGAGAGAACCTGGTCTGAGGAGGGAATCAGAAAGGCCACCTCCAGCGTGTCATCCTTAAATTGAGACCTAAGGATTAATAGAATGTAGTGAAAGGTGGGAGGGAGGGACTGAGTCTTAGAGACAGCAAAGCAACATTACCAAAGACCAGAGGCTAGAGAGAGAAAGGCAGCAGAAGGAACACAGGGAAGGGAAGGCAAGGATATGTGGACACGGTATGAAGAAAACATAGTAAAGAGGAGGTAGACAAGGTAATAATAATCACATCACATTCTCACCCTGTTCCAGACGTGATTCTAGGTGCTTTTCTTGCCTCATCTCATAGAATCAATAACCCTCGATACCCTTCATCCTCATATTACTAATGAAGAAACTGGGAGCCCAGAGAGGTTGCATCGTGACCCCATTCCATGTAGTGTCAGGGTCAAGATTTAAACCCATCCAGGCCAAACACAGACATATCACCCACTGTCCTCCCTGTGGGAGACCAGATAAGGCAGGGCCTTGCAGGATTTTGTCCTAAGAGGAATGAGAGGGAATTGAAGAACTGTGAGCTAAATGGCATGATCATTCTTGGGCCCTAAAAAATCACTCAGGTGACTATCTTAAGAATAATGGATTGGTAGAAGACAAAAATGAGTTCAAGCACTTATACCCTGTTGGTGTGAGTGTAAATTATTACATACTCTAAGGAAAACAGTACAGAGATTCCTCAAAGAACTAAAAGTAGACCTACCATTCAATCCAGCAATACCACTATTAAGTATCTACCTAAAGGGAAAAAGTCATTACATCAAAAACACACCTGTACCTAAATGTTTATTGCAGCACAATTCACAATTGCAAAGATAGGGAACCAAACTAAGTGCCCATATACTGATGAGTAGATAAAGAAAATGTGGTATATATTAATATATATATATATATATATATATATATATATATATGCCATGGAATACTACCCAGCCATAAAAAAGAATGAAATAAATCTTTTGCAGCAACTTGGAAGGAACTGGAAGCCATTATACTAAGTGAAGTATCTCTGGAATGGAAAAACAAATCCCACAGTACTCACTTATAAGTGGGAGCTAAATGAGGGATATATATGGCCATAAAGTGGTCTAATGGGCATTGAAAACTAAGAAGTGGATGGTTGGGAGGGGACTGTAGGATCAAAATTACCTGTTGGGTACAATGTATATTATTCAGGTGACAGATACACTGAAAGTCCTAACTTCACCACCATACAATTCATCCACGTATCAAAAAACCACAAAAATGAGTTCAGGGAGACCACAGAGAAGACTACTGTAGTTTTTCTAAGGAGAGGAGACAGTGGCTCAGCCCAGGTGACAGCAGTGGTGGTAGACCAAAGTAGACAGGCCCAAAAGATGTCCAGGTGTTCGGGGGTAGCAATGTCAGGACTGGCTGATTGACTGGCTATAACTACAATAGAAGGCAGAAATGACCACTCAGCTAGATGGTCGCATATACCTTAACTGAAAATTTCCAACAATTCTATATAAATGTTTTATTGGTTTTTTTATTTCAAAATATTATGGGGGCACAAATGTTTAGGTTACATATATTGCCTTTGCCCCGCCCAAGTCAGAGCTACAAGTGCCCATCTAATTTTAGGGCCAGAGAGCTGTAAATGGCGAAGACAGGGTTTGAACTCAGAATTTGAAACTTTTACATGTAAGTCTATCTTTCTCATTCTTTGGGGGCTGGGCCTCCATCTTGGCCTCCTTGTATTCACGCATGGCCAGGGCCCAATAAACGGTTGAATTAATGAGCAGGAGGAAAGGTGTCCAAGGGCTCCAGTTCTGCCCTGACATTGCTTCTTATGATGTCATGACACGGTGACACGTCCCACTGACCCCAACAGCGTCAGTATCTTCCAGGCCTACTGAACAGAGAGGCTCACCACCCAAAATGCTCAATGCCTTCCTCTGCCCACCTGTCAGCCTGTCAGGCCCCACCTGCTCACTGGCCCTCTCTCACCTGACCATCCAAGGCCTTATGTCTGTACTTTTTACAGCCTCATCAGTCCCCAAGATTTAAAAAAAAAAAAAATGGAGCCACATTAAACTGGGCAGCTGAGTTATTTAAGTTTCTCCAAAGTCTTAATAAATTTCACAAATATTTAACAAGCAAATTAATTTATGTAAAGATCTGTACATATTTGATAAACTAGAACCAATTTAATAAATCCTGTCTTGTTTTAATAAACGCTGGATTAGGGTTAGACTTCCTACAAACAGTAAATACATAAAGAAAATATTTGGTATGTGTGTATATGTATGTACCGTACCTGCCTTTTCAAAGGTCAAGAAAAGATTATCTTTGCCAAAAGGACTTGAAACCGCTGTGTTGTGCGCATGTCTGCTGAGAGGGGAGGACATGGGAAAGTGAACGAACACGTGTTTAGACTATCAAGCCGATGATGACTTCGTGGACAAGAGAGAATGCCAGAGACAGCACCAAGATCTCAGACCACGCAAAACATCTAGATTACGGTAGGCACACAGGTGAGAACAAGAACATCCAGAGCACCTGCGCTCTCTTTTTATAAATGGCTAATGCCTCTGCCACACATTTTTTTCTTCCTGCACTGCTTCCTACATGACATGACCAATAAAATCCTATCACAGAATCCTACTCATCTTTCTTCAAGCCTTAAGCTCAAACATCTCCTCTTGTGTGGAAACTTCTTTAGGCTCTTCTCCACCTCCGGGCAGAGTTGGCACCTGCTGCCCTAGACTTTGATAGCACCCCATGAATGTCTACAGCACAGCACTTATCCTGTTGGCTTGCAGTGAGTGGTGTGCAGCTCTGTCCCCACCACTGCACTGTGAGTTCCCCATGTGCCATCAGCAGCCACCTGCATTCTTTCAACAAGTACTTATTGAGCCACAGTATGTGTCAGGTGATACGCTAGATAATGATGATGCAATGGAGGGAAAGTGATGGGCATTCAGGTCTTGCTTTTGTGAAGCTTGCAGTCTAGCTGAGTATAGCAGACACCGTTGGTGTCCCACCCATATTCTTTCAGCATGTACCCCCATAGCAAGAAGGACTGAAGGTGGCAGATGGGGGTGGGAGAGACCATTCAGCATACACAGGGCAAGCAAAAGTGCAAGAGAGTTACTGTCCCTGCAAAGCATCCCTCTGTCAATGATGGATGGAGAGTTGGTAGGTAAATACCACAGCTTCCTTACTCCTTGGCTGGGAGAACACCATGGCATGTTCTATATGGTTTCCCAGAGTTCCCCAGCAGGATTGAGCTCTAGCCACCCAAAGCAGTGCCTGGCTTGAAAATATTTCCTTAATAGGCTTGCTTACCTTTTCCATCTCGCTTCCCCATTTGCTACCAGAGTTTGCTGGAATCGTCTCCCCTGAAAAGCTATTTGCAGTTGAATCCTTTCTTCAGGATCTGCTTCTGAGGAAACCTAAACCAAGACACTGAAGGATAAACAATTTAAGTAAGAAGATGTATAATCCCCAACTCCTGGTATTCATACACTTGTGTCATCCTCATTCCTTCCATGTGGACCAACTGATCGACTTGTTTCTTATGAATAGACTATGACAAATGTGGTAGGATGTCACCTCTGAGATTAGGTTATGGAAAGACAGTGGCTTCCATCTTGGGGACTCTCCCTCTCTCTCTCACCTTCTCTGGGGAGAGCCAGTCGCCACATTGTGGCCACATTGTGAAGCAACCATGTGGAGAGGTCCACGTGGCAAGGAGCTGAGGCTCCAAAGTTAAACATGCCAAATAGCAGAAGTAGTAAGAAAAATATCCAAAGTTAAAAATGTATAAAACTCTAAGATTAAAAAATACACATTATATAAATTTTCAGATAGATAAGATTAGCAACAACTAAAAAACATTCCCATAAGCACCACTAAAAAAAGGTAACAAAAAGATATTTTAGGTTTGCCATAGAATTCCTTACCCGGTATAGCAATTATTTCTGTTTGGGTACAGAGTAAGGGAATTTTTAACATAAATATTCAGAAATACACAATTCTGTCTCCTTGTGAAAAATTACTGTTGAAAACTACAGATAAATGAAACGTGAATTCTAACAAAGACTTCATGGAGAAAGAGGACAAAATACACAAGAATTCATTGTGATTACCAAAACCAGGAATAATTACTTCTAAAAAAGTGTTAATGATATGGCTATAAAAATATGGCTTAAAAATAATATGATATTAAAGAAAATATAAGCATCATTTCAAAATAAAAATTAAAATTTTATGAAGTTCAAAAAGGGAAAGAAACAAAAATATAGTTAAACTTAATTTTTATCTAAGTGGATAAAGTTTTTGATTCATAAAATTAATGAAGAAAAAAATACATTTTTAAATGTTTATTAAAAATGTAAAGATTCTCACTAGTAGAATACAAATTACAGACTAAAATTCCAAATTACTTTGTGCATATGTGGAGGGAAAAAACAACAAAGAGGTATCATTCCATCAAGTTAGGAAAAAGAAAGGGCACTAAAGTACATAATTAACAGAAGAGAAACAATAAAAGACAAGAGTAATACCAGGCATTATACTTATCCCAAATGAACAGAAGTCCATGGGCGAAATTTCCTTATTAAAAAATAAAACTTCTCAAATGAGGTTGGAGAAAATGAATCCAAAACTAAATAGCAGCTCTTTGCAAAAGATGTACTTAAAGTGAAATGATGCAAAACCAAAATGTTGAAAATAAAGAAATGGGACTATGATTTTTACATTTAAAATGTTTTACTGTACTCCAAACATGGAATATATTAGGTTTCATATTTGTGAATGAAAACCTAATATTCATATTAGGTTTCAAAGTTTGTAAGGATTTACACATCAAAATGAATATGCATCTCCATGGGCCAAAAGTGACATAAAAATCATTGCAAAGGAAGAGAAAAGAAAGTAAAACCAAACAAAACAACATTTAATGCTTTACCAAACCAAGAAGAGCATCAAAAAAAAAAAAAGAAAGAAAAGAAAAATAAAGGGAAAATAAATGATAAACAGAAAAATAATGCAAAAGGGTAGATATAGTCTATAATTTGTGTGTAATCGTGGTAAATTTAAGTGGATAAAATTAGTCTATTAAAAGAGACAGGCCTCAGATTGGATTTTAAAAATTAGCAACAACAACAAAATCTAGCTATTATTCTGCTTAAAAGATCTAGACTCAAGCTAAAAATAACACATTTGAAAAAGCAGGAGCTAAAGAACAATATATTAATGAAATACTTACCAAAACAAAGCTGATTTAGCATTAATATCATCAAGTGAAACAGAAGTTCAGGTGAAAAACCTTAATGGGGCTAATAAGGAATGCTAACACATTGAAGAAAGAACACTATATCAATTAGATACAATTGATATAGATACACTATATCAATTAGATAATCTTGGGCACTTTTCCTGAGTAAAGTGCCCAAGGCTTATGAAATGTCCTGGTCCACCACCTTTGCGCTTGAGAGTGACGCTTCAGTTTGGCATACAGTGTCTACATTGCTGCATCGATTTCAATTTCAATATAAATATCTCCTTACAATCCAAAGAGGCTTGCTTCCATCTAGATTTTTCTTTTCTTTTCATGGCACACTGAACAACTGACTGCAGCATCCTCCATACGGTTTCAAAGAATTGACGTCGCATAAGTTAGTTGCACCAAATCTTCAGGGATGGAAAATTTTACACAACTTGTTTAAAGAAAAATAGAGTAAGAGTGAGAGCTTCCCACTCAATTATGTACAACTGCCCCCCCCAGCTCCGCCTCGGATCATCAGGCATTAGAGCCTCATAAGGGGCTGCAGCCTAGATCCCTCATGTGTGCAGTTAGTTGACAGTGGGGTTCGGGCTCCTATGAGAATCTACTGCCGCCGCGGATCTGGCAGGAGGCGGAGCTCAGGCAGAGATGCGAGCTACGGGGAACGGCTGTAAACACAGATGAAGCTTCGCTCGCTGCCCTGTCACTCACCACCTGCTGTGCAGCCCAGTTCCTAACAGGCCACGACCCATACCAGTCCAAGGCCCAGGGGTTGGGGACCACGGTATTAGATCATAAAGAAAACTTACAATACATTTAAACAAAATAAAAGTAGAAATATGAACAGCCTGTATCCTGGCCCTATGTTAGTTCACATTAGGGACAGGTCAGGCCGCCAGAAAGCGTGCCCCCCTTGCCAAATTCAGCACCACGTGAGGATCTTACCTCAGGGGCAAGGTCTCACCACCCCTCCCACGGGATTGCCAAAGGCTCAGAGGGTAATCGTGACCCTCTTTGGAAATATCCTTTCCTGAGGAGTAAGAAACAGAATTGAAATGGAGAAGAGCCACAACCCGGATTCTTCTTGACTTGATTTACACGAGTCCTAAACCCTCTCTTTTAGATAAGTTTAAACCCTTTCTTTTACAGCAACTTGCAGTGCTGGTCAAATTTCCCTTCAAATTAGCTGGACTTGGAGGAGTGAAAGCCACAAACAGGAAAAGAACACAGAGGAGGGAAGGAGCGTGAACAACTGGGGAGTCTCAGATGCCGAAGGAAGTCCCGTCTGCAAAGCACATTTCTCCAGCCTCCCAGACACAGTTTCTCCCTGGCTGGTTCAGCACGTGTGAGCTGCTCTCGCTCACAGTTACGAGCAATGCACGTCAGGTTTCCATGGCCATGCGTGCAACGGCTGAACAGACCGGGTCTGCTCCCTCCCCATAAACCTGAGTCAGAAATAAATGGAAAGATTTATAAAGGGGAGGTGCAATTCTTCAGCTACATTGGTTTAAAGACGGTGAAATAAATGAGTTAAACTGTTCGCTCAGAGTGTTTCATGAAGCAGATCTAATGTGCAGTTTTGTGACCTGACGTGACTTTAACTCCTCAGTAAATCAAAAGGCTTAACAAATATTAAGATGGCAAAGATTACCTGTGTGGGCCAGATTTGATCTTTTGTCCACTGTCATTTAGGGAAAACGAGGGCTCCGGAAGACAGCAGCCAGAGCATCACGTGACCAAGGGGGCTGCAAAGCCCCAACCAAGGCCTCCCAGTGAATCCGGTCTTTCCAGTCCTCCAGGAAAGATGACTGACGTTCACATCCCAGGGTGTTTATAGAAAGTTCGGTCTGCCATCCTGCTGTGTGTCTCCCAAGAGCCTCTGTCTTGCATCCTGACACTCTCTCAAAGCAGACCACCCACCCACCCAGCACCAGCCTCTGTGGGCCCCAGGTATGACACACCCCTGGTGACCTTCTTCAGTGAAAGGAGGTGGGTGTGGCCCCAGGCCACCCAAAATCAACTGGGAATGCGCCATGTGGGAGAAGATCCCCCCACGTGTGCATTTTCAAGAGATTGGCTTAGGAGACCCCAAGTTTTCAAACCTTCCCATCTGAAGAGGATAAACAAGTAGAAGGGCAAAAGCCAGAGGCCTCGCCCTCTTTTGCAAAGCCAACACTGGGGGCCAGCGGTGGCCATTTACCCATAACATAGCCCCGACCTCCAAACCCGCCAGCTAGAAAGCCTTCGCAGTCGTCTAGTCCTGGAAGCTCGAATGGTGACCCTTGGAACTCTGACTCTTCATGGCTTCAAAGTCCCCAAGGACCACCAGAGGGAGTGAGGGACGAGCCAGGCAGGGGGAGCTCCTCCCAGGTTCTAGCCGAGCAGCACATTATTTCCCCCGTGGAAATTTCACATGAGACTTCTTGGGGAAAAGAAAGACTCCCGCTGCTTCCTTTGCAGATGTCAAAACTGAGGTCCAGAGAAGAGCAGAGCGGGGCACAGCACACAGCCAGGCTGCAGGAGTTTCGATGCTACAGGGAGTTTCAGGGAAGAAAAAAGACTCTCTGGCCATGAAATGCTAAAGCCCCTCTTAGTAAATATGCTTTTTGAAAGGTGAGACCAACAAAGACAAGTCAAGCTTTTGGATCCCCAAGATACACTGATGACTAAATTTGGAAAATGACCCCAAAGTTTACAAGTGATGGGATGGAACCCAGGGCAGAAATCCTCTCCAAGTCAAAGGCACCCGCAGCCCATTCCAGAGATCCCAACAGTGCCAGGGCAAGACATCTGTCCAAGATAACATGGCCCTGTGCTTCCCCAAGGTATTCATGCAGTAACATGGCCAGGCAGAGACCTCTCCCCCCGGTCCTGCCCCTGGCCAGCACAAATGCTTCCTAAATCAATGCTCAGAACAAATTCAGTTTCCCCTCCTTGCACCTTCCAGGGGGTCCCAGTTACAGAGGACATTCTTGGTGATGAGATTTAGAGGCCTCAGCTGCTTCTCAGAGCTCAGGCAAAAACTCTCTTTTTGCATCCAGGGCTTTGCTTTGACTATGTTAAAGGGAGACAATGGGGAAAGAAAGAAATGAGCTGTGAAGGTTTATACTGAACTTTGTCCTCACATCTCACCAAAATGACCGTTTTAAAAAAATTTTCGAGTTTTTAAAGATATTAGCTTTCATTACTATTTGCCCAGGAGTCTGTAATAGCCTCATTTTATTAGATCCAAATTTCCTATTTAGAAAACAGAGCCTAAGAGCCTCTTCAGAACAAATAAATAATATGCATTTTCCAGAGTAATTTGCAGACACAAATACATATGTGCTCTGCTCAGTTTACCAAAAGGACAAAAATCACCAAGAAAAAGATGATGTTGTTTAATAATTTCCAAACTAAATATTTTTACACCCAAACAGAAATACCTACTGTGTCCCAGAAAGGTCCTCTTCAGCCTGCTTGATAGATTGCACCTCATTTTACCACCTTCCATGTGCTGTTTCTGATGGCTTTGAAAAGGCAGCTGGGAAAACATCATCTTCAAACCTGCACTAATTTTCAAGGATAGATTTTTTTTCCCCCTCTACCTCTCCCATGCCCATCATCAACCACATGAAATAGCCTGGTGCCCGCTCTCCGAAACCCGCTTTGGAAAGGGATTAGAGCACCTGTTCACCGTGAGCTTCAGGTCCCTTGTGCTGGCTGTCTCCAGCCTCAGCTCTGTTTGGGGACTGGGATCTGGGCCAAGGAGAGCCCAGCTAATGGCTGACATCCACCCAGCACCCCCAGGCAGACCGATAGGAGCAGTTGCTCCATCTACCCTGAGCCCAGTAACAGTTGGGCTAAAATTAGTCAGAAGCCTGGGGACAGACTGCTTGGAAGGAGAAGGGGGTGGGGGTGGGGGGATTTGGGGACCACAGCCTGGAAGATCAACTTTGCAGAGGCAGCCTGGGTATGTCCTAACTCCTTCTTAAGGACAGAAAGGGAAGTGCTGGATTCTCGGATAGGGGCTGGATGGCAGCTGCCTCCGAACCTCAGGATAGTGACCCCCTCACCATGACACAGACAGACTCAGTTCCATGCCCCACCTCTGAAATGCTCTTCCCACTCCTAGCTGCGAAATCCTGTGCTGTCAAATCTTCAGACTTCTCCTATTGTACTTGCCTAAATGAATCCTGACCAGTTTGGGTCAGGACCAGTTTGGGTCAGCCCTGGATGCAAAAAGAGAGTTTTTGCCTGAGCTCTGAGAAGCAGCTGAGGCCTCTAAATCTCATCACCAAGAATGTCCTCTGTAACTGGGGCCCCCTGGAAGATGCAAGGAGGGGAAACTGAATTTGTTCTGAGCATTGATTTAGGAAGACTGAGTTTTTCAGACCATAGTCTAAAATAGTCCGGTGATTGAAAGTGTAAGTGGACTGTCTAAATCAAATGTGGACTTGGGCACATATCCTGAGTGGGAGAGTGTATCTTTTAGGGCTTACTGTTTGTCCTACTCCTTTCCCTGTAAATCATCTGGGGTTAGTTTTCCTCCTAGGAATTTGCTTAAGGCAAAAGTGATGATCCTGCGCACCTGTCCCTTACAAGAGGTTTATTACTTTAAAAAAGAAAAGAAAAAAAAAAAAATCCCTGGTTGTCTAGTGGCCAAGAAAAAAAAATTTTTTTTTAAAAAGAGAAAAATAAAAAAATAAATACAAACAAGCAGAGACGAGTGCCAGCTTGCGGTGACTTCGGCCGACAGTCCCAGCGACACAGTTGCTGTCCTGGAGTACGTACCCCCACTCCACCAAAGAGAAGTCAGGGACTAGGGTGAGGGAAAGTGACTTGGTGCCTTCTATGGTTTTGGGGGGTCAGTTTTATGGTTCATGCAAAAGAGCAAGCCCCCTGGCCACTATTCGGTGACAGAGGATTTGGCACAAAGTGCTGGCCAGCGTGTTAGTCACCAACGCGGGAAGCGTGAGGTCAGCAACCAGCCTGACTCTGGGCATCAGGGAAAGCTTGGTTGGTTTTGGCTGTTGTCACTGCCAGACTGATTGGTGTCACAGGTGGACAACAGAGGGTGGCCTTCACCTTTAATTGTAACATCACCCAATCTTTCTTCGTTCTGCAAACAAGGGTCATTTTCCCTGTCACAAAGGCTGAGCAGATGTCCCATAGTAGGCGTTTAAAATGGCAGGTGCCAAACTCTAAAAACATCCGCTAAAGCAGAGTTTGCTGGGACGGGTGTTCCAAAAATACCAGCATGGTTTTCTGCTGTGCTGCTGTCTTGAAGGAGATAACATTCAGGAGGATGTAAAAATTCTGATATATTTTCCAAGAAAGCAATTACTAAACTTTAGCATCACCCTTTGATATAGGTCCATGAAACTACTTTTATTTGAATATACTTAGATTTCTTTGGAATGGATACCCCTTTATACCTTCGTATAAAGCTCTTCTGTTTTCTCTATTAGACTGTGGACTCCCCAGGGAAAGGACTCATATGAATTTTTTTCTACAGCCACCCCCCTACACACCTACCTTGGAGCCCAAAATCTACAATGCCCTGTAATACATTGGTGCTCCAAACAGGCTGTTGACATTTGATGGTGATTTCCAGCTCTTGAGCGTGGTACAGTTTCCATTTCATAAAGACATGCACACAGAACAAAATGCCAAAAAAAAAAAAAAACCCCAATTATAGATAAGGACACCCATTGACAAACATCAAACATTACTAACTTCCCAAAGCCTCATGGGCTCCATCAGAAGGCCAAGAGAGTCACAATGGCTACTTAATGATGAAACTCATCCAGGTGTTTTGATGTTAACATGGTCCAATGTAATGTCAAGCTCGGAAGAATAAAGGTTAATATATTCTATTAGTCCCAATTGTCATAAGAAGTTTACCTAACAATATGGTTCATTAAATGCTGAATCTAACAATTATGTTCACCGTAATGGAAATTATTCAGACAGATATGATCTGAATAGTTGTGATTTATTAATTTAGACACAAATTTAATTAGCAATTGATTTCCATTGTGTCTCTCTCTGAACAATAAGTTTTGTGGAAAAAGCATCCTAGAAAAAATGTCAACTAACAAGTATCAGGTAACAATAAAGGAAGCCACCACTCCACTCTCAAAAATGCTATTATGGCTTTCCCCCGAAACAATCCCAACAAAACTCATTCCGGGCAGCATGAAGAGGTGGCTATTTTCCCCCGTCTCAGACACTGCCCATGACCCCCAGGAAATGACACCCCAGCCAGCTGTACAGCTGCACTGGTGTAGACACTCGCAGAGCAGAAAAAGCCAGTTCTTTTGGATCCATTGGATCCATCCCCAGGTCCAGCTCCTTGTCTAAATGGAGAAGTGTTGCTGTAGCTCCCAACTCTTGTCCCCTGTCCTCACCATCTCCACAAGTTTCTGATACTTATAACTTAGAGTTTATACTTAGAACCAAAGTTTTGCATTCCTCTTGGTATCAAACATAACAGTAGCCATAATAAAAAAAAAAAATATGGAGGTAGAGAAACAGAAATGGAGAGGAATGCTCTGTATTTTGAAGAGGAAAATGGAATGTTCTTCTCAGTGGTCCTTAAACCAATTCCCTACGCCCAACTTCATTCCCATCCCAACTATATCCAATCAATAAGCAGCAATTTTTCATTTAGGGAAAGGAAGCATGTGGCTATTCAAGATGCTCAGAGATTTGGGGTAGGAGAATGACAGTGTAAAGAAGATGGGAGAAGGTAGAGAAACGAATTAGAGTAGACATCTTCCTTCTCCTCGTTCCCCTTTCCATTGGCCTCAACCCTAACTGCCCACTTGGGTTCCGTGCCTTGGACTATCAAAAACCATTAACCTTATTTCTTTAACAAGTAAATATATTAGTAATAGAAGAGGACATTTGAGCTGCTGGATTTAAACCTTTTCCTCTCAGATTTTGATAGCTATGTATAATTTTTCACTAAAAGAAACCAGTGCTCCTTAATAGAATGGCTGATTCTAGGCCTGGGGCAGGAATATACACGATGAGCCTGGAACCTCTACTTAAACCAAGCAATGAGGAAGACAGCGACAGGCTTGCTAAAAGGACACGGGTGCCAACTTAAAGGATCCCCAGTTGCAGAAAGTTGGGACAACTATTGAAACACAGCAGATACATTATAAGTCCATGATTTCCTACTGATACCAAAAAAAAAAAAAAAAAATCATCAACACTTCACTGGTCACCTTTGGAGAATAAAATAAAATCAAATTATTATTTCGAAAACTGGGACTTATAGGGAAGGAATTAGGCTTTTATCTATCTTTTCTGCATGAACTGTGCCTCAGAATAAACCAACAGTTGATGAGGGGAAGTTTCTCTATATGGAAATATTCCAGCTGTTCAACATGAAGGAACAACAGTAAAATGTGAATATCCCCATTTTTAACCCTAATAAATACGGAATGTAGGCAATGATCTTTAAGGGTTACTGACAGCCCAAAAAGAAAGACTACCAGACATGATGTTCCTCTGGGTGGTCGTATAGGACACCATCTATGAAATATCCTCACGAAAACACCAATCTGGTCAAACCACTAAGAACTAGTTACAGTTTACACAACATCCTGAAGGAAGAAGAACACACATGCGTGTTCCATGATTTTGGATGCAGCAAAATTAAGAATGTGGTAAACTTTGCAGGACAAATCACTGATTTTTTTCTCTTTTAACCCATACATTGCAAGGAAAAACAAAAACAGCAATGAAAAGAAGGATGGGGAAACCAATAGATTGAAAGAGACTTTGAGCCCCACCAACCAGGCGTGACATGTGAGCCTTGCTTGGATCCTTCAAACAAATCAACTTAAAAAAGTATTATGAAATAATCAGAAAAATTGGTACACTGACTGGATATTTAATAATAGCAAGAAATTGTTATTTTTAAGTGTGATAATGGTAATATAGTTATGGGTTTTTTTTTTAAATTAAAGAGTGTTTATCTTATACAGATGGAGACGTACTTAAATATTTATGATTAAATGCCATGATACAGGACCCACGTCAGGATGGGGCTAGACAAGTGAGGTGTCCAGGACAAAACATTGAAGGAGGCTTCACTTGGGTCCTCCAGTCATTGGAAGGCAGGTTTATCCTCTTGCAAACTTGGCACTTAATGGGCGTCCCTGGCACCTGGCTCTCGCCTCACCATAGTCCTCCTGGCCTTCATGGATTCCTGGGATTGGCTTCAAAATTATCCAATAGTGAGGAGAGGAGGGTGGGTGGGATTATAAATAAGACAAACTTTAAAGATTTCTATAATTAAAAAATATATAATTTTTAAAAATCCTTAAAACAGGTTATGCTATTTTTTAAAAAATTTAAGCTAACAGTAACTTCTGAAATAACTTGCAGTAATTACTGTTTTGGGGCTTACTCCTACTCAGCACTAAACTGTGACCGCTTTCACTTCAGATCCTATTCAGCTTTGATTGATTGACTCAAAAGTATGCATCCGCCCTCATCTCTCTGAACCACGTTCTGTGCTTGGAGCTGGAGATAGAACCTGGAACAGGAAGTCCCTTCCCCACACAACACATTCCAGTAAAGGACAAAGACAAAAAGAAACAAACTGGCACAAAAGGGGGTAGGGCATTGCTAAGACAGAAAATCACAAAAAGGGATGTTTTTAGGAAGGGAAGGGGTGAGGCCTCCCTAAGGTGGTGCTACTTAAGCTGAGACCTATGAACTAAAATAAAAATCTTAAACCCCCCAGCTGACTGAATGGACCCCCTCTTGGCCAAGAGGATCTCAGAAATACCCTAATGCTGAGTTGCTGGCCAGAAGGGTGGTCAGACCTGCCTCATCATGCCCCCCTTCCCTTGGAGATATGCTTTGTAACTCATTAGCAGGCCTCAGGCTATGCAAGACAAAGCTTAAACCATACCTGCAGGCCCTCAATTTACTCAACAGATCTGGTGAGTCTGAGTATTTGTCAGAGGAGTTGTCTCTGATTAACAGACTTCCTGATCTTCACTCAAAATATTCCAAGCCTTTAGACAGAGCTTCATTTCTTTAACCAATCACGAATCAAAGAATCTTTAAGCCCACCTATAACCTGTAATCCCCTGCTTGGAGATGTCTCGCCTTTTCGGGCCAAACCAATGTACACCTTCCCAGTATTGATTTATGACTTTACATGTAATTCCTGTTTCCCTGAAATGTATAAAACCAAACTGTAACCCAACTATGGAGAGACCTCTTGCTCAAGGCTTCTTGGGTGTGGCTCTCCAGGCCATGGTCAGACATACTCACTCAGAATAAACCTCTTTGAATTATTTTACAGAGTTTGGGTTCTTTTCCATTGACAGACCCAAAGGAGAAGAAGGAGTTGGCCATGTGAGGGTGATGGGAAGACTCCAGGCAGAGGCAGCAGGATTCAAGTGGACAAAGGCCCAGGGTCAAGAAAAACCTTGCACATTCAAGGAAAGTAGAGAAGGCTGATGGAGCTGGCATGGAGAGAGCAGAGGGTACACAGAGCAAATAGGCATGAGCTAGATCACGTCTGTTTTATAGGCATAAAGAGATGTTTACTTGCCTGTTTGCTTGGTTTTTAACCTTATATCCACTATAACAAGCACAGTGTCTGGTGCATCATACACTGAATGTATTGATCTGGATTAACTCCTATATTTGGAAAGTTCCTCTGTTGGAAGCTCAGACACATGCTCTTTATGGATTAATTCTTAAATTTGTATTAATCACAGTTCTGTTGACTTCTCAAGTCACTCTCTTTACATCAAGGAACCTACTGAAACGGGTCTGTTTAACTCCTTCCCTGCTTCAGCGTGGGTTTGGCAGAGAATACTCTGTGAATGAATCTGAGAGTCCTTCATGCTTTTCCACAGCTTGAAGTGAGTTGCAAGGTGGAATTAATTGAGGTTGGCAGGACTAGAAATTGGACATAGCCTCTTAGTTCTAATGGCACGAAGTCTTCCCAGTTTGGCTTCCTAATTCGGTTTGAAATACATTTTTGGAATGTCAAACATTCCCATATTCAAAGGTAAGTATATACGTATATTCCAAAGCCAAATAAAAATATCTTTTGGCTTATCTGCCATTTTCTATGACTCAGGGTGCAGTTCCCCTCATTTGGTACCTATGATCAAGAATTAACATTATGCCTCAGATGCAAATGAATGGGAAAGGTAACAGAGGGAAGAGCCTTTCAAAATAGCTTGAAATAGAAGCAACGTGTCCATGCTTAATTTATTGGGCAAAAGAACTTTCACCTGTTAGGAGAACAAGGTAATCTAGTTTGAGAATAAACGGACTGCTCGCTTTCTTTATAATTGTTTACATTTAATAGCATTACGAGGCTGTGATGGCTGTTCCAAACTGAAAGCAATTTAATGAAAATGTATTCACATTGGTAGCATTGATATGCTAATGCTGGGAATGAAATATAAACCTTTGGTGAAATGAACGCTAAAAAAAAAGGCACCAAATGGCTTTGTTCATCAATTCACATGGAAGGGAACTCCAGAGAAGGAGGGCCTGGAAAATGTCCTCCCTCTCTGTAGCCTACAAGCTGTGGATGCAGGGAATTCAGGTAAATGGAGATGGGAAAAGGCCCTCCGTGGTCTGAAGCCACCATGGAAGGGAAACAGATTCCACCACATCCTCAATCCCAATCCACATCTTCATTTCCAAGAAACAAACAAATAAACAACCCAAAAACACATGTGGAATTCATCTTTAGCAAATCCTCCCCTGATTAAACCCATCCAGATCCAGATCGATCCCTCCACTTGGTTACCATTTACTTTTCAGAACTCTTGCACATGCTGATGTCTTGCTTCAAAGAACACAATTTGCTGATACATTGTTCCAGATCATTTCATCTGAACATTTCTGTGTTCATTTGAGAATTCAGGTGCCTGGAAGTTTTCCCTTTCATTTGGGAATTCAGGTATAAAGTCAATTTTCTATAATTGTTTGTGGCATTATTCCCAGAAGGGGAACAATTGGATGACATTTCCATCCAAGATGAAAACTGACCAGCCATTTTGTTTGAACACTGCTTAGTCACTGGAATTCCAATTCGGTTGGTGTAACGTGGATTGATTCCTCCCATATGTTCTTTAATCAGCTCCCTAGTGTCTCTACTTCCTTCTCCTTCCCCTTTATCAGTAGGTTCTAGAAACATGGACATCTGCCCAGAGGCGGTCAATTCTGCTGCTGATAGGGAGTTTCACACCCACGTATGCAGAAGTAAAAATAAAGCAGAAGTCTAAAAGAAACTAATATGAAAAAGGTAGGCTTGGACTCATTTTCTTAAGGGTCCCAGGCCTGCTTTCTACTAAATTGGATGACTGCTTTCCTCCAGTCTGTAGACAGGACACATGGTCATTTATTTGCAGGGCCAACTGGGCTTGTTTGCATATGAGACCAATGGCCTGCCTGTCAAAGAAAATCTGAACCCTTGCAGCCTAGGGTGACCCAGGAGAGCTATAATAAAGGGAGGGTAATACACAGTGTTAGCAAGGAGGTAAAGTACACTGCCAGTGCGAAGGTAAATTGGCACAGCCACTTTACTAGTGTGTGATATCTTGTAAAGTTGAAGC